GGATACATACCCTGCTCTTGTTGCTTTTGCCGTGACCCCAAGATAAGATTCCAAACATGCCAAATGGTAAGGGGATTGTGAAAAGGGGGGTTAGTCAATKGTGGTCGTAAATAACATTTAACAAAGAAGTTGTAGTCGTCTATAAAAACACGAACCTCTCCTCAAACGGCGCGGATCTCGGGACAATCTGTAAGAGGTCYACCGCCGGCCGGCTAATAAAGCTTGCTTTTAAACCACCAGGTTGAGCGTGCGGGTGATTACTGGGATTACGGACTAACACCAGCAACTGGAGAGACCCCACAGGGATATGCCTGGTGGAGTGTCCCTTTGTTCAAATAAAGTTTTAGGTCTCCTCTGTCTCCTTTTTGGACATTCAGTTCTTGACAGCGAGGTTTTCCGCACAAAATAAAATAGGAAGAGCTTTGAATTTCAAACTTCAACCATAAAGGTTTTGTGCCTATCAAGGCTGGTACCCATACGCTCTGCAGGGCTGTGAGATCCTAATTTTACTAACTGTAAAAGCACCAGATGGGTCTGCACAAGATCTTCTATGTCTTCTGCAAGAAGGAACATTTCTTGTTATGTCCAGAGCCAGCAGCTTTTCAATGACCTGTGCAGGTGTGGAAAAATGTTGATTAGTGTGGCACAGGCTTGGGGAGACGAGGCCTCTGCTCGCTCTGCGAGGAGGTGCATCCTACCATCTCGGTGACAGCATTAGGGAGAGAATCAGAGCGGGAACTCTCCTTCCCATTCCTCTCCCTGCACGGGAAGAGCTGATCCAGTGCCCCTGATGCTCACAAACAGCCCACTCACAGTCTGTAAACTCCCGAAATGCGCCGAAACGGAGGAGCAGGATGAGAAAGTGGGTTTGCTGCAGATGGCTGAGGCTAGGATGGCGTTCTCTTGCTGAGCCAGGTCTTGCCTTTCACAGTGCTGATGAACTAATGGGCTTAAGACTGATGAAATAAGAGGCTTAGCACGCTGTAACTCTACCTGAAGACCTCTACAGCCTCCAACTGTAGCCTCCTGCATAAATTCTGATCTGGTTACCTCCATCTGCCTTTCCACAATGAGTGCAGTCATTTGGCCAGACAAAAAGCCCTGGGCAGCTGTCATCACCCGGGGGGACATCCCGGGGCACTTTGGCACCTGCCTCTCATACGCGCCCCACGTGGCCCCGCAGATGACTGGGGCACCGAGGCACGGCCAGGAGAGGCCCGAGCTGGATTACCAGAATTTTGTGAGGTTTTGTTACACTTTTTTTAAGAACATCCTCCCTCCTGCTTCTTAAAAGAGAAAAAAAAGAAGAAATAAATAGTGGTGGGTTTTTTTATTTCTTTTTTATTTCTTCTTTTTATTTCTGCCAACATGACAAAAGATTTTTTTGTTTTTTTTTTTTTTTTTTTTTTTATTTTGTGATTCATCAGTTTTCATTTTTGGAGGTTACCAGGAGGCGAGTTCCCCTTTTTGGCCATGGTTGGCCAGTTTGGTCAGTTGTTTTTGTGGATTCTTTCTGGTACTAAGCTCAAGTAAAGCTTCTGCCTGTACAAATGATGCCTTATTACAACCTTTCCTCTCCCACCTGTGGCAGCATCAGGAATTCTAATTACAGCAGAAAACTTGAGAAGAGCATAGTATAAACCTGCCTTTCTTTCTTTAAAGCGTGCTGTCCTTCAGAATGTTCTTCTTCAGAGGAATACTCTTTCCGTATTCACAACACTACTCTTACAGTATCTCCTTATGTCAGTAGCTCGAATCCTTTCTGCTTGTGCATCACCACATTAATAAGGCACACCAGTGATTTTGCTGTGAGTTGTCACAGATAACAATATTACTTCCATTTGAAGTGGTGTTATTTAGCAACGTTTCTGCCTACCACATCTTCCATTTAAGTGCCCAGCCTTGTCAACCTTTGCAGAAATGTTTAGTGTTACGCTGATGGCTTCCTAGTGGCTGAGGTTGTGGTTTTTCTCAGGGCTGTTTTTTCACAGCATGCCTTACCTCCAATAAATAAAAAGATGTTCTTTTGGAATTGCTCTTAATTAGCCTCCATTAATCTTTACCTTAGTGACGTGAAGCAAAGTCACTTTGTAACCCCTGCTTGAGCTTTACCTGCTCCATGTATTTCAAGACAGCATCAGCACACGCTGTGTCTTCAGTAGGATTTTGTATGGAGATACCTCACACTGGGTAAAAACACAGTAAAATATGACCTTGGGAGAGTGTTTTGGTCTTGATGAGCTGATACAACTGAAAAGCACACCATCTTGTCATCCAAACACCACCCACCTGCCTCTGGGCTTCTTTCACTTCATTCCCTTCTTGCCAATCTTTCCGACTCTCTGCATTGGGTTAGTTTCTCTGTTAGGGCCTATAGGGCTGGGAGTGTGTGCAGGAGCCACAGCGAGAGGCACGGCAGGTGTCGCCACCAAGCTAGTAATGGGCCTCGTGTTTTCATCGAGGGATTTTGGATGCCCTGTCTGCTCCTGTAGTATCAGATGAACTTACCAACCCTCATATAATATGGGATATTAATAGGCTCGATCTTCCTTGCACTTCTTTGTAAAACCAGTCTTTCAGGAGTTCTGGTTTCAGATTACTCCCTTCAGTTCAGTGGACAGACACTCGTTAGGTACATGCTTTTAGCCTAGACAAGGTTGTTTTCTGCAGTTACACGAGTTTTTGCTTTCTAATCATTGTTTTACATTTGATTTTTTAAAATATGCCCTTTTTTAAAGCAATTTTATGCATAGCTCTTCTACATAAAATATTCTGAAATTCCTAAAAGAGAAATGTTCAAGATTTTAGCCTGATCCTCAGAGGACATTGCTCCCTTTGATGTCTGATTCAGAATATTAATGAAAGGATAGTACCTCATTTTCTCAAGCTCTCTTCTTATTATCAGTAACAGAGATGTATTTTATTTTCTTGTATTCATGTTTGCATCAGTCCTTTGGGATATATACATGCCATTACATCACTGAATCAGCAAAAGAAATCAAATTATTGTTTGTATTCCAAGAATTCTTTTAAATTGTTTTACTTTACTATTTCTGTCCCTTTAAATATTTAGGTTTAGTGTTCTCACAACTTTGAATTACCATATCCAGCAGGTATTTTACCTTTTACATCACTGATTAAATGAAGAGGCAAATTAATTTAAGTGCTCTGACTGCTCTTGACTGTCAGCAATTTGGGTACTTACTTAAGTGGTTTTAAGTGTATTTTAATTAAAGAGTGTAGTGGTTGCTTCTCATTCAATAATCAGTAAAACATATAGCATTTATTTCCTTTTTTTTTTTGAGTATGATTACTTTTACTACAGTTCAAGAAGTTTTAAAAGCTGCATAATTTCCTCAACCTGAAAGAATTACTAACCACTAATTATACTGAATATAGTCTTTTCTCCCCTCTTTATAATTAGAAAAATGAATCGGCCCTTACGAAGTGTAATGTCTTCACTTGTTTTTAATAAAATATGACTCTAATTATTTCAAAGGATAAGAAAGGCTGCCAATGAAAAGAGGGATCAGTTAGTCAGTGCTAGAGAGGGATCCAGAGTTTGGACACCCATAGGTGCAGCTCTCGAGCTAAATCTTACATGGGCCCAAACAACTTTTTTTATCTTTTATTTTTTTCTTTCACAAATTAAAAACCTATCCTAGAACATCACCCATGAGCTTTTCTAACCTTCTCAAATAGTCCAGAAGCTGCAGCCCATGTCCAAAAGCAACCAAAATACAGGAAGCCACCTCAACCGGTGCTTCCTCTGGCAAAGATCTTTATGACAGTTAAAGCATCACCCTCTCATCTTCTCCAACTACCAGCGTGAGGAGGGACTCTAAATGAGAAGTATATCCAAATGCTAACGCCTGCAGTTATTTTCTCATGCATGCAGTTATTTTCTAGTAATTGAGCTTCAAAAATAAGGAAGACAGGGTGGTGCTGCTGTCGTTTTCCTCAGACTCTGCAAGCAGCTACTCAGGTAGCAGAAAGATCCCAGCTGACTGAAGCCAGGCCCAGGGGTCAGATTGCCTTCATCATCATCATCATCATCCCATCCCAGCCTTTTATCCTTTTCACCCGCAGCATATTCCACTTGTCCAGCTCATCTAAGGGAGTGCCTGTGCCAGGGAGCAGCAGCCGGCACCAAGAAGAGAGAAGGGCAGGGAGGCGAAGAAGAGGAAACACAACTTTGATGCTTCAAATCTTAGCCCAGCAGTCTACACATTTTTTCACTGAAGTGATTTTACCAACATCAGACCATTCTCTATAGATACATACACACAGATACATATACACACACACACATATATATAAAGTACAGGAAAAAAAAAGTCATTTTTTAAAGCTTGGACCGGAGACCCAAGACAATAATAAAAAAATTAGACTCTCACAAGACCTAGGAAGGCAGGTGGCAGTTATGTGCATCGCTCTAATCTTTAGAAAGAGTGAGCCTGTAAAGTTGTGCTTGAATACAGACACCAACACAGCTTCTTTTTCCATGCTTCCTTTCCACATGAGTGCTCTAACCTTTACCTTTGAAATTTAGGTGTCAGGGTTTCCATTTTTACATCATCGTGATACAGCTTGGTACTTTGTACACCTATAAAAGGACAGTTTCCAAGACTGATTACACAGTTCTCTGAGTAAGGAAGTCTGTCTGATCTTTTGCCTGGTCAGTTAAACCTCGAACTGCTTAAGCTTTGCACAACAATTTATAATGCCCTTCTTTTTCTAAAACTTCCCTGGAAATAGAAACTGTGTTGTTATCCACAGCTCTTACAGGCAGGTTAACAAACATAAAGCAAGTTAGAGCCCCACCTAATTGTACACTGCCAGGCACCTGGCTACATAAACACTTCAGAAGCTACAACAGAGCCCTGCAAGAGCCATGGCTGTAAGTGACAATGGGGAAGAGAGGGGGGGGAAGGAAAAAAAAAAGAGTTAAGAAAATTTAAAAATAAAATCAATATTTATTATGAGACATTATAACACATAAGAAAAGTCACTTAAGCAAAAAGTCATTTAAACCATCTCCTATGTTTATGAACTGTATTTAGTTCTTTTACCTCCTGCTTTAATATCAGAATTTGCTACTCTATTTATGTACGCTGTTGAAAATGGGTTAAGGAGTGATTCAAGAATCCATGCAGAAGAGGAGCAGAGCCTTAGCTTGAAAGGAAGACATTCCAGCAGAAGTCAAGAACAGAGACGTCGCTACGACTGAAAATTTACACAAGCCTAAAAACTGAGAACGTAAAAACCCAAAGAAAACACTTAAAATGAAAAACACAGGCCTTCTTCCTTTTACAATATGACATCAAAGTGACACAGGACACCCCAGTGATCACTAGGGAATCGGCCACAGTCCAGTTTTTCCAGTCCGATGAGGTCCATGCTTCGCGGCAGGAGCTGAGCCCCGCGCGGCGCGGGCCGCAGGTACACGCGGTCGAAGCGCAGCTTGCACGTGTACGCCGCCGCCAGGTTGCTGTTGCAGCTCGTGTCCCACGTGTAACGGCAGTGCTTGGGTTTACCCAAAAACTCCCAGATGTCCACAATGCTCTCAGGCAGGCCGCCTAGTTTATTAACCTGAAAGAGAAAGCAAAAAAAACAAAGCAAAAAACAACAAACTCCACACCGCTGAATTCCCAAATACTTCTCAAAGAGAAACACAAAGCCTTCTCTCCCCCACCACTGCCCCTGCAGAACATTCGCTGTGGAAAACAAAGCAGTTTAGAAAGTCTAATTAATTCCTGTAGTACTACCTAAATGAAAACATGCTATAAAATTGCAGCTTTGTACTTTCAAGGTATCGAGGTCAGCGTGGTGTGCTCTAAAACCATGCCATTTCAGTGCATCCGGATGGAGATTCACTACAGAAAATAAATAAATAAATCGGCCTTTTAGTAAATGCACAAATTTCACTTTGAACATCACCAGCCAAAGTGACCTTAAATTTTGAATGTCTCCACGACAGTGGGAATAATTTAAATTTCTAAGATCTCTTTGGAGAAAGCACATACTCTCTTGTTCACTCAACTAGCTTCTCTGAAAAGCAGCGCCCAAGCTGAGCAAATGAAGACCGGACTCTCAAAATACCCTCGAAGGTGAAATCTCATTAATTCTCCCTGCATTTTCTAAGAAACAAACATCACTGACAAAAGCATTTTGTGGTGCACGTGGGAAAAAAAAAAAAAAGATTTTTGTCTCAAAATAATTAGGTTGCTAATTTTTATTTACCTCACTGTCTCTGAGATTTGTATCCCCTCCAAATATAACAGTGGTGGACTCCGATTCCTTCTGCATGTTTTTAAACACCGTTTGCAGTTGCTTGATACGCTCCTTCGAGTGATCTTTAGTGCTTTCTAGATGAGAGGTCATAAGGCAAAGTTCATTGCCGGCCACATTCACCTGTGCATGAAACAAAGCAGCAACATTGCATTCCGCACCAGGACAAGAAGGTTGAAGAGAAAGCAAAGAATGATCACAAAGCGACCTGCTCTGCCAGAACTCTGATTAATATTGGTATTAAATTGGAGCAGAACGGCTCAGGCTTCTAGTTCTCTCTTCTAGCTAACCTCAGAACAGCTAGCAGGCTTCTAGTTCTGCTGTTTGAGGTTTGACAATGAGGTATGGCCAGTAACCCTCTTTAAAGATTCAGATCATTAATATCAAACTTAACTGAGTTCACACATTTGGAGTAAAATTGTTTCTGCTCTCTTGAGACTGCCATTCACTATGGTCAGTCCAACCTTTTGGGGGATGTTTTTCAAAGGCAGACATGCAGCTCTTTAGCACATACTGACTTACATGCACAACCAAAAGGTTCCTCATCATGGATGTTGTTGGAAAAGGCACAATCTCTTGTTTGACTAACTTCACTCTAGAATTCTTCAACATTACAGCAGTGAAATAACCATCTATGTTACCTAAGGAACAGGAGAAGAAAAGGTCTAGGAAAGGTTGTCAGTCTCATCCTAAGGAGCTCACAGTTCTGAATGAGATCTCTTCACTATCATCTGGGAGAATCGTGCTAATCTGGAAGACCTGCAAACTCATTAGTTCAGAGTTTCATAGCAAGGGTGAGAGATTTTTTTTTTTTATCCAAAAGTTTAAGAAACTACTTGGCTAGGACACTTTTTGGCCAATCTCACAATTGGTCTTTCAAAATAAAAAATAATTAAAAAAAAAAAAAAAAGAGAAAACCACTATTCACATGGATATTTTTGCATCAAACTATATCCCGGTATCAAAACAGGAAGTAATTTAATTGTGTCTTTCTTCACTTTACCCTTTTAGCTCCTATGAGCTTTTGACAAGGGAGACCCAATAAAATGGAATTTATTTTCTTTTCTAGTTCCTGTCTCATGAAGTTAGTGTTTATTTCTTACCTGGAATAATTGTGTAATTGCCTGCTCTCTTCTGTAGGTAACACAGGTACGGTGGGATGACCTCCTGTAAAAACACCACATCGGGACTGTATCTGAAATCAGTAAGATAAGGTTTTTAATTAAACTCTGCAAGGTGACAGTATCACCCCTGTTGGCAAACAGAACAGGCTCAGGGATTTCAGATGCACCTTTTCCCTTGTCTTCCCAGTGTAAGCATCTGTTAAAAAACAAACAAACAGACAACCACTGCTCTATTTACTAGCATGTAAACACATTACCATTACTGAGGGGAGCAAACAATGATTATTACTGCCACAGCAATACAAGGTAAGAAGCTGAGAGCTGTGCAGCCATATGCAGGCGAGATGCGCGACTCAAATGGACAGAGAGCAAGCTTTGGAGCAAGCTCTTGCAAGGTCTCTGGCAGACGCCAAGCCCACCTTGTTCCCTTGCAGTAACCTGTCATTTGCTCCCTCCAGTCCCAGCTCTGCCAAGCTCCTGTTTCTTGAAGGGCTGTGAGCAGCAAAGGTTCATGAGGGCAGCAGCCTCAAGAGGGCTCCTTCAGATGTTCTTTTGCAACTGCCCCTTATGCTGCACCCCAAACAAGCAGCTCTAAGCAAGTGAAGGGCAAACCTAAGGACTTTGCTCTACAAGAAAAATTAAATCGCCCCAGTTTAATAAAATCAAATTAAAATTGGTTTAGTTAAGGGCTTTCTACTGGCTTAGCAGGAACTTAACACTTTTTAAATGCAGCTTAATTTACATTGATGAGTTAGTGCATTAAGCTAAAACTATTTCTGTAATTGTTACACTGTTTAGAAATATACATTCATGGAAGGTTTCCAGTGGTGTAACCACAGAAGCTGATAAACGCTGCAGTTTTATTCTCCTCACAGATTCTCCTGCTTTTGCCTTAACCTGCACATTTTCATTTTTGATAGACAAAGAACAGTAATGTCAAAAGAACCACTTCCTCATATACACCACATAACTTCACTCTAGAGGAAGCTATTTGCCTGATTCTAGCAGAATGAGTAAGTTTCTTGGATTTTTATCCCATTCTCACACACAGAAGTATGCTCTTGCTATATGATTGCAATTTGGTATTAGCAACGTTATTCATTCTGAAGAGCATTTTGTAAAATGTAGCCATTGTAAAATATTTAACCTCTGTGATGTGGCAAAGGTTCAGACCTCTCCTGGACAGTACATCAGGTTTTATTCATTTATTTCAGGATTTACACATTTAGGACTGCTGAAGCTAGTGTTGAGATGATTTGGGCACCAACACTTTGTTGGCACCTCGAACTAGGAGACTGCTTTCTCCTTTGAAGGGAGCGGGTACACGACACCCTAGACATGAAAGCACACTTACAACGCCAGGTAAGAACAGACCCCTCTAGCTCGGTCTTGCTGGTTTCCTAAATCGAGGCCATCGATGTTCCAGGTGAGAAGTGAGAAGCTGCTGTCATCTTCTTGCTGCTCTGGGGCTGTGCCATTGACGGCAATATTACTAGTAGTTGCATCTGTTGTCAGGTCAACGCTAAAAAGATATTTTATTTGTTTGTCAACATCATAACAGCAATTCTCCCTTCGATTACATTCCTGACTTTCTTTAGGAAAAAAATGTTTTAGAATCCTTGCAACTTTGAAGTGGTCAACGAAAACCCTTCCAACAAAGAAGCTACTGTAAATTGATCCCTTACTCCAAGAAAGGCACCAGCTGTAACACACACGTCCCAATGGGGCAGAGGCTTCACACTTAAGGTGAGTTACATTAAGGTGCCTTAGGTTAAGTGCCTTATAGACACAAGACAACACATACCATTCCATGTGTGCCCTTCCATGCGAACCATTCCAGCCCGAGTTCATCTCATGGAAACCAGCCTAAGTCAATGGACTCGAGCAATCCAATCTTTTCCCTATTTGAGCCTTTGCAGAGGGGTTCTACACATTAATTTCTCAAAAACTTACCAATACATCAAAAGCAAACAACTGCTGCCAGAACTGGCTTTTGTGTGCCCAACTTGGCTCAGCTTTCCCAAAAAGGCCTCACTGCTCTGCCCGCTGTGGACCCACACGTGCTAACTCACTGCACCACAGAGCTGCTGCCCCCTGTGCTGCCGAGTTATGGGCACCCCTCTAGTCCCTGCTCTGAGACCGTGTTGCTAAAGCGGACCAGGCTCTGTTCTGTTAAACCTGCTAAATTAGAATCTGTTAAAAATTAGAAATTAGAATCTCTTAAATTATAATCTGTTAAAAATTAGAATCAGAATCCGTTAAATTAGAATCCGTTAAAGCACCATCCGATGCAAACCCTCACAGTAAAGGGACAATCCCTAGCAAAACATGTCAACTAGTACAGATGGGACTGGACAAGCTACTTTGGCAAAGCCTTAACAATAGAGTTTTGCTTTTAAGCATCACACACATAAGATTATATATACGCATGCAGATAAGGCCTTGAAGCAAAGCATATTTAGAACTTTTTTCACGCTTGATGTTGCACAAAAAGAAAGTACTACTATGCATAAAGTAAACTGAACAGAAGAAGATGGGCCAAGAAGGGAGGCGGGGAAAGGATACTGAAATAAGTGTTACTTATGGTGTAAGCCTGTGAAATTCCCCTGACGCGGTAACACCCTATATATGAACTTATCTGCACCAGCACCGCTGCTCCTGCTGAGCAAGAGGCCGGGGCTGCTGCCAACGCGCCAAACGCTGCCTTCCCCCCGCAGTTTCGGAGGAGCAGCCGCCGTCCCGCACTCACCAGGCGCCGGGCTCGTCCTCGCGCCGCGGCGCCTCGAAGTAGGCGTTGAGCGCGCCCTGAAACACAGCGCGGGCGCCATGGCGTCCCCGTCCCGTTCGCGTTCCCGTCCCCGTCCCGCGGAGCGGCCCCGTCCCCGGCGCCGCGCGCACCTGCAGCTCCCAGCCGTGCTCGGCCAGGCAGCGCCGCGCCGCCTCCTCCCCGCTGCCCGTGATGGCGGCGAACTGCGAGCAGAGCCCGCGCCGCCGCTTCGCGCGCCCCGCCGCCCGCGCCCCGGCCTCCTGCTCCTCCTGCTCCCCCTCCTCGCCCTCCTGCCCGCGGCCACGCGGCGGCGGCTCCGGGCCGCTCTCCCGCACTGCAGCCTCCTCCATGGCGGAGCGGCGTCACGGCGGAAGCCGCCGCCACGCTCCGCCCCGGCCGCCCCGCTCCGCTCCGCCCCGGCTCGTCCCGTCCCGCTGGCGGTCGCCGCGGGGAGGTGACCCCCGGCGCCATGGGCCCCACGGCGGAGGCGCTGCGCGAGGCCATGCGCTACATGCTGGAGTCGCAGGGCTTCGACCGCGTGCTCCGCAAGGTACCCGCGCCCCACGGCCCCCGCGCGGGCTTCCCGCGCCCCCAGCAAAATGGTTTGGGGGTGCCCTCCCCCCCACGGCGTGATGGGGGACGCGGCCCCAAATGAAGGTGCCGCTCGGGGCCGTTTGGAAGCAGAACGTGCCCGGCGGGCGCGGGGGGGCTGCCAAGAGCAGAACTGCTCGGTGGTCCTTAAGCGGCTCGCTCGGTAAAACCCCGCGGGCCGGCTAAGCTGCACGCGCCGCTTCGCGTTTCTCTTGTGGTATTTTATCCTCTCATCATCATTTAAACACAAGGGGGAAAAAAAGCAGCTCAGAAAAGCAGCAGCTCAGGCCTCTCCCTGCCGCAGGCCGGGGGCAGAAGCTCTGCTGGGTGCCAGACCCCGGGGAAGGTCCCGGTGAAGGGACCCGCGGGCGATGCTGCCCCGAGGCCGTCGCCAGTGACCCTGGGCACCCGCTTCCTGAGCCCCCGAGCCTTCAGACCTCGTCCAAAGCCCGGAGCTGCGCCTGGCTTAACCCAGGGGTCACAGTCACGCGGGCTCGCACAGGGCGGCCTTGGGAGCCTCTTCCGCTCCGGCTGTGCGCGGTGGTGCTGGGAGCCGAAGGAAGATGAGCCGTGTGGGAGGACGGGGCAGGCAGGCACCACCGGCCCTTGCAAAAAAATGGGGCAAAATCGGGATAAATTTGGGCCTGCCAGAAAGGGATGCTAGCTGGCCCTGAGCTCTTACACCACCTTATAAATAAGCGGTAGTGAAGCTAAGGTTTTAGGATTAAGGAGAATAAATCAATCCTTCTGATATAGCATGGAAACTAGGGGAAAAAAAAAAAGAGTAAAAAAGGAGTAGAAATTGTAATAAATATCATGCCCACATTTCCCGTGTCAGTTTATAAAGTTACTTCAAAGTACTAGTTGTAGGGCTGAATATATACATGTATTTATCCCACTTTTGCACCTATAGTGCTCCTCACTGAGGAAACTCGAGCAGAACATTTTAGCTACTGAAATGCAATGAGAAAACTAGGAGCTAGGTCTCAGAAAAACTAGTTCCTCGGGTTGCGTGCACAGGAAGGCCTGGGAGCAGAGGAGTACTGTAGTTTTGTCACCCTATGAGCCGTGATAAAGGTGTAACACAAGTTACAGTGCTGCAACATACCGTGTAGAAAACATTGGATACCTCTACCAAGACACATGAATTTCTGCACAGAGAGGTCAGTCTATTCAGCACTTCCAGTGTTCATTTGAAAATACTGATTTTTTTCAACGTGTAGATTAGGTTGCTCTAGTAGTAAGGTTAATGGACTCGTGTCAGTCTTTATTTTCATTTGTGAGCTGACACACCTTTTTAACTCAGTATGCACAGGCCATCAAAACACTTCAGTGTTCCAGATTAAAGCAAGAGGCAAAGTCATGAAGAACTCCATCTATGCAGCTCCTGAAAGCTTAGCAAGTATTAGTTTTTGTTCAGCTGTCAGTGTGAATATTTATCTGTACCAGAATTAACTTTTATTTTTTTCCTAAGGCAAGAACCTTAAGCTCAAAGTTTACAGATATATCTAACGTGGCAGCTGAACTTTTTATGTTTAAAGTCTCGAAGTTTTCCTCAGAATCGGACGAGGTTCCCTTGGGGCTCGGTGCCGCGCAGCCCGCGGGGCCGCGCGCGGGTGCTCAGCGTCTCTCCCGGCTCCACAGATGCGGCTGGTCTCGGCGGCGCCGGGCAAGGTGGTGTGCGAGCTGAAGGTGGAGGAGGAGCACGCCAACCGGGGCGGCACGCTGCACGGCGGCCTCACCGCCACCCTCGTGGACGTGGTGTCCACTGCCGCGCTGCTCTACACGGAACGAGCAGCGCCCGGCGTCAGCGTGGACATGAACATCACGTAGGTACCACCGCGCGGCTGCAGCACAACAGCTCTCCTTCCCCTAGCAAGCTGCCGAGGCCAGGGATGTGTCTTTCTACGCAGAAGAACCTGCGTGAGAAGATTCTCTTTTTTTTGGTTTCAGAAGACTTGTTTCGGTAAATTAAGGGGAGGCTGTACTTGAGGATACTGCCTGTTGTGTGGAAAAGTGAGTCGGGCTTGTTTTCAGTTTGCCCCTGCTTTGGGAGGCAGCAGCCCTTCGTCCACAGGATGCCCAAGGGGTGTTGAGGGGTGGTGGCTCACCCAGGGGCCTCAGCTTCGCTCTTCACACGTGAAGGTTCTTCAGAGAGTATCCTCAAGGTCTAAGACCTAGGGTAAGGGGCTTTCTTTTTAGTGTTAGTCCATAAAATATTAAACCAGGAAACATTTTAGCTCCATTGTATGATGCAATGGGATAAATCAAAGACGGGTTCGGAACTGCTCACTCGAGAAAGACTTTTTTAGTGTACTTATTTAAAGCTAGCTTTTATATATTGAGAACAATTCAGTAATATATTCTAAAGCCCTTTTTTTCTTAAACTTGTTCCAAAGTCTTCTTTGATCATACTATTACAGCTTCTATTACAGCTTGTCAGCTTTGCTTGATAACTCTTAATGAAGAGATTATGACTGTTTGGAACAAAAGTAATCCTACTTGAAAAAAAATCTGGAAAAGAATCCCACATCAAAACAGACTGAAAAAAGAAAAAAGAAAGAAAAGAAAAATCCCACAAGCTCTGAAAGCATGAGTGAGAAAGAGATCTGTGCATCTGTACCAAGTTCTTATTCACTCTCAGAGTATCTGATCAAGCTTTCTTCTACTACTGTGAGGATGACAAAATTACTTGAAATGAAACCCCGGAGTTCTGATATAGTTACACTCCCACCCTCAAGTACATAAGGGCTGAAATCCTTAGGATTGCTCCCTCTGGAGGCACTGCAGAATGATGCCGAGCAGCGTCACCTTCAGGAAACACCAACTGCAGCAAGGTCAAAAGCTCTGTTCAACCCCCAACCACTCCTGCTTTCCAAGAACGAGCGATACTGGATATCAAATATTACTAGAGTACATTTTATTTTTCCTTCTGGGGAAGAAAGCTTTTTAAAAAGTTGTCACAGGAAAGCTATTTCAGTAATGCAAAGAACAGAGACACTGATTTTTTTTTAAATTTTTAATCTCAATTCAAGAGGATCAGCAGTGGGTTCTGAGAATGGACAGGGGCTGAAATCCCACCCACTAATGGGGTGATGCTGCCCTGGCCTTGGGCTTGACTGACATGCTTTGGAAATGGGCTGGCTGAGGAAGCTTATCTCAAAAAGAGATAATTCTGCCCTCCTGCATAACTGCAGCACTTAAATATTGCTGCCTTACCTCAGATCATGGCTGGATCACACTCATCCCGATTCTCTCCAGACTTTGGGGGGGAATTTCTTCCCATTCCCTGGAGAGGGTATATTTTAGAAGCATACTCACCCACTCATGTAAATAAAAAGTTACCCAATGAGTGAAAACCAAGTTACATCAGGAAAGCTTGCAGGCCTCCCAAATCTCCATGACTTCCCTAAGACAACTGCAAGAGAAACAAAAATGAGTTAATCTGTTGTTGGCTTCTGGAAAAGAAATGACCACCTGCAGCTTTTGTTCCAGAGACATTTTGCAACTAAACCAGCCAGACTGGTTTAGAAGGGCTGTAGGGAGTCATCATGTGGGGAGCCCTGGAATGAGACTTGAGCAGGATCTGTAAGTCTTCGATACCTAAATGTTTCTGCTCCAAAACGGACCTTTATCAGAACAAAGCAATGATTCCTTCTCCACTACTGTGCTCCAAGTCCCTGCTAGCTCCTACAGCAAGTAGTAGGAGGTTTAGTTTAGTAGGAAGTTTGGCAATTAGTTGGGGTTTGAAATCAGGCAATTAGAGATGTATGTTTATTATGCAGTTTTTCTAGTTCCTTTCATGTTTACCTGACATTTGTGGATTATTCTTGGAATTGTGCTCTGTATAGAATCTTACTTTTTCATTTTGTTTTCCATTTAAGATACACCACTGCTGCTAAGATTGGAGAAGAGGTGCTGATTACAGCCCAGGTTCTGAAGCAAGGAAGAAATATGGCATTTGCCAGCGTGGATTTAACAAACAAGGCAACAGGGAAGTTAATAGCACAAGGCAGACATACAAAGTATCTTAATTAATACAAGAAGGTAATTTAAAAAAATAATAATGTTGGATGTAAGAATCCCCTATGGAGTGATTTTCTCATGTGTGCACTAAGATGGATCATTAGCATAAGATGCTGATACCCTAATGAACGTAAGCCTGTACTACCATGAAAATTGCTACAAGGCTGGAATTAGCATCTCCTTTGGCAGGAACAACAGAAAGTGTTAGGATGAGATACATGTAAATTTTTTGTTCCAGATGCCAGAAGGATAAAGCCTTTGGACCAGCAAATAGCTTACCAGCACGACAGTGTTAGCTTGGTGGGTGAATAAGCAGCTCTCTCTCCTGGTTTGTCACCAACACAAACACTGTGTTTGCATATAAAGCACTTGCTCTTTAGGACAGTAGCAAAAGGTTTTTACAGATGTTGTTTGAAACTGCATTTGGAAGTGGAAAGTAGGCTAAATACAAAGGGTAATTCACTGATGCTGTAACAGATAAGTACTCAATAAAACTTTTGTAAACTCTTTAAAGACTAGTGAGAGTAATTCTGGGATTTCTGCATTGAGTAAAAGCCCTCCGGCATGGAGTTACTGGAGAAGTGTGCTGTAGATGGTTTGGCTCACTAATTTCAACATTATCACCCTGTGATTCCTATATGGGACAAAATAGGTACAACATCAGTGGTTTTTAAGTTCTACCTAAATTTATGGTTATAGTTCTTTAAAAATCATCAGGTCGAACTCCAAGCTGAGTCTATCTAGTAAGTCTCAGATCAGACTTTGGCTGAAAATTGCCTGCCCGCTGTTGAATTATGTAGGCAGATATTCATCAGCTGAAGACCTGTCTCCTCATGCTCTGCTGTGGGCAGGTTTAATAACATTCTTTACACGGATGACAAATGATCCTTGGCAGGGCGATCGCACAGTATGGAAACAACACCCGTGGTACGGACACCGTGTTCTCTACACCAGGACCTTTGTTTTTCTCCTCTAGAAAGCTTGGAAGGAGTTGAATACACACAGTAGAACGCATGCAGAACTCCTCCAGAGATCTGAGTTGTGATCACATGTGTGTGTAGTTTGGGTTTTTTTTGCTATTTGCAAAACCATTTGCAAACTATTTGCTGTGAATCAGCTTTGCTGGGTGACAGTGAGCTGCCCTGCAAGCCAATTATCAACAGAGTGGTGAACACATTTAGTATCCGAAGTCCTTCTAAGATGACTTTAAAACAAGCAGGATTGGCTCCTGTAACTTAACCCTCAATGGCAGCTTTCCACTCGAGTCCAGTCAGCTCGAGTCCAGTCAGCTCAGGCATTTACCTTTGCTGCAAGTCTATGACCCAGTCCCAATGGAAGCTTTTTCTGGGGGGCTCCAAAGTGTCCTGGCTCACACCCCTGCGGCTAATGGAACTCGCAAGGGTGCCAGGCTGGTATTGAGAACAAGCTTCCCCTCTCCATATTTGCTCTCGTGCTCAGAACCACCTCTGAATCCCCTTTATAGAAACATGATGTTCTCTAACACAAACCAAGACAACATTTACCTCAGCTCCAGATTTATCTTTTTCCCTTTCTTCCCCAGAACTCTATGCTTCACCAGATCAAGTTGTTTCTCCCCTTAGAGCATCCTCTTCCCGGAGATCAGCTGTGAGCCTTGAACATCCCCAGCTCCTCTGAAATTACAGGGGAGAGGATCAAATTGAGAGCAGATCCATCACTGTGCAGATGAGCCCTTTGATTTAGCAATTGCAGTTCTGTCTTCCCGTTAGCGTATTCTGGTACCACCAGTTGTCATTCACTCTCCTGCTCCTGATTCTCACCTCTATTTTCCCCTCCTTTTCTCTCAAATTTCCACAGGTTACCCACATTGTAAGAGTACAAGAGGTCAAAGATACAGAAGTGAGGAATAGCCCCACTCTCCCTCCCCACTAATATAACCCCATGCATCACTGAAGCACAGGAGTGATTTTGACTGCTGTCTGAAATAAAGGGCAGGCAGCGACAACGAACAAGCTGCTGAACTTCAAGTGCTCAAAGACTGAGAGCTCTCTGTGCACCGGGGCCACCCCACTGCTGCGTAACTGCCCCAGGGCAGCTGTCCTTGGGCGTCCGCACCAGGAGCTGCCTGCTGCAGGATGCCACCAGGTCTCATGCCATCACCCAGCATTCATCAGCAGACCTAATTACCACCAAAAAGTGTCCAGACTAATAAGGAACAGCAAATCTCAACACATGAACAGCAGTGTCCTCCCGCTCTGGTTCAGGTTGGGAAAGGACTGTGGCAGTTGACGGGTGAGGAGGAAAACCTTCCTAGAGGAGCAAGTGAGCTCCCTTCTCCCCGTAACACGGGATTTCAGAGCTGCCCAATTAATAGATAATTGGTATTAATATTAGTATATGGGCCAGTTATTTTAAAAGCAGTTGATTAAACTGAGTATTTCAAGACATCCATGTTTGTTTGCAGCACCTCTCTGATCTCATCATTTATTTCCCAGCTTAACATCGGCTTGGGAACCTTCTCAGAAAGGCCTGTCACCCCAGGGCTTGGGTATGCTTGGGTGTACGCTGTCTAGCGCCAGGCAGTATTGGGAAGTTTTCTTTGCTGATTCCAGCCTAATCTCCCTATTGAAAGAAAAATAGTATCTTATTTCAGTTATATTTGAAGGAAAACAACAGAGAAAATATTTGCGTAATAAGGACAGAAAGCACGTGGTTCCCCTTGACATCAGCACAAGCACTTCCTTTGGGGTGACTGGGTTCCAGCAGTGTAGATTTAGGCTTAATTCCTTACAAACAAGATAAAAATAGAGATCATCCTATGATGCTTATTGGTGTATGAAATACATTCATCCTTGACTGCTGCAAACGATGGGCCAGTCCCTCCCCAGCCATACTTTTCCAGTAACGTACTAAACATCAACGCCACACTGAGATCCGTAGCTGTCTTTATGCAGGGCGAATGTTTTCTGTCCATGAATCTCTAGCACTCAGTGGAACCGCCCACCCCAGCAGCGAGCACGCCTGCAGCCAGCCCTGCACGCAGCCCTCTGCTCAGCTCAGACTGCGGGTGCTGCACTGAGCAGTGGCTCTGCGCTGCGCTGCTCCACCGGCGGGGTCCGAGCCGCTCCCGGGGCACCTGGAAGAACTCCCAGACACGCTGCATCACTACGGAGTTTCACACGTTTTCTACCATGCACAGAAACTGCCTATTCAGGGAAAACAAAAAGAAAACTTAGAATCATAGATTCCTTAAGGTTGGAAGGGACCTCCAGAGATCTTCTAGATTAACTCCCCTGCTCACGTAGGGTCACCAACAGCTCGGGGCACAGGGCGGCATCCAGGCAGGTTTGGAAGACCTCCGGAGAAGGAGACTCCACAACCTCCCTGGGCAGCCTGTGCCAGGGCTCTGTCACCCTCACTGCCAAGAAATTTTTCCTTAAACTCCTGTGGAACTTTTGGTGCCTCAGCTTGTGGCCATTTCCTCTAGTCCTGTCGCTGGCCACGACTGATAACGAAACACCCATACTTCTCCTACCGCATTCTCTGTGGGCGGGGAGAAGGGCACCCTGACCCTGTTTTGTTGGGATGCTGTTCCCCAAGGCTCTACCCTTGGGCTGCACAACCACAGGATGACTCAGGAGCTTTGACAGCTTCTGTTTAAGCAAAGCAGCAGCTGCCTAGAAAGCTATTTTCCAAGACAACACAGGAAAGCAGCTTGCAAAGCATGTGCTCTAGGCCCAGGGTGGGTCTAGCAAACTGTAACCATTCCAATTATGGGACCTTTCCATACATAAAGGCATTTCCAGCAGAACAGCTAGGTCACACATACGTGCAGCTATGCCAAGCACTCTGGTCAGCCATGCAAAAGAGCAATTGCGCTGGCGTGGTGACTTTGGCTTGCTTCAGTTGGCCTGGAAAGTCAATGCCTCCTTGCAGAGCATCAGTGCTGTAATGGCAGCCTTACAGATTACCAGCCAAGGGGCAGAAATGGCAAGACAGGAGCCACTGCTGCAGAACCGCGCTTTTCTTCTTGGTATTTCCCACAGCAGAAGCCATCTGCTATTTCAAGTGCACAAGAAGGCTGCAAGAAGGAAGAGTTAAACACCAAGCAAACACAAAGCAGCCAGCTCTTAGATACTGCAGCAGGGGAAGAGCTGAGGGCCCCAGCTTCTAGTGAAGGGCCTCCAACACCCTGCGCATTTTCACTCATAATCACATCGAAATCCTTCAACATCCACATACTGAATAAGCATGGAAGATGTCTACAAGCTGTGGCCATATTCTCCCCAAACTGCATAGCATCATATAGCATAAGTGCAAGATCAGACCTGTACCAAGGGAGGTCATTTTAGCTATTTTTATGATTTGGAAAAGCATGGTTTGCAAATAAACATTACTAGAATAAAAAAAAAAAAAAAAACCCACACCTGCTCCACAAAAACATTCCTAAAACTAGCCTCAAGCCCCCAGGAAAACCAAGGGTGCTGGTTAATCCTCTACCCTTTGCTCCTTACTTCATTCCAGAAAACTTCCCTGGAATCTGTCAGCTTTTAAAGCTCCTTATCCTCCTACTTCCACAGCTACAAAGCTGAAAACAGAAGGAGAATTTCCAGGCCAATTAAAAAGAAAGGCATCAGCAATTAAACAAACCTCAGCCCACATATCTATCTGTTTACTACACATAAGTATAGTCTAGTAATCCTTCACTTGGGCAACCTGGGTGCTATTGCCAGGCACCTCTACACAACCTGAATCACCCTGTACAGTGCATTGGAACAACCTCGCATTTGAAGGGTGAAAACTGCAGCGAGCACCTGCGGTGCCCAGAGCCTGCAGAGAGGCGCCACTAACTGCGAGCTGCCTCGCGACTCGGCACGCGACACGCCACCCTGCAGGGAAGCAGCCGGGCGCGCGGTGACAGGCATGGGTACCCAGGCAAGGAGGCACCTAAAATTTCTTGAGCTGATGCAAAAATGCGCTATGCCTCACTGAAACATGCTAGCAAGAACAGGATGCTCTTGGAAAGATGTAACACGCTGCACGTGTCCGCCTGCGCAGTGCACTGCGCCCCTGAACGCCACTAAGTGCAGCTAATAAATGCAGATCCTAATACACTGAAGCCCAGTGTAAGCTTAGCTGCCAACTCAAGGAGCAGTCCAAAGGGGACACAAACTGCACAGGAAGAGTCTCCTTGGCACTACGGGGCTGCCCGTGCTCTTGCAACTCTGCCACTTACTCTGCATTTATCCATTCACTGCAGCATGAAAGCAGTGCAAGAAAAAGGCCTTTCACAAAGGTTCTTACTACCTCTGTATAGGGGGAAGACTAAGACCTGGCTTTTAGATTTCAAAAATAAAAATCAAGTCTTCTGAATATTTGGTTTCTTAAAAAACAAATCTAGAAAATTAAAACAAAGGACTACAAGCTTTGTTTCCAAAGGGCTTTATATTTGCCACCTGCAGCAGAACTACGTAGCTTGAGCCAAGATATTCAGCATTCAAACTGCTTCTAGTCTG